AAGGATGAAGTACTACCCTCCAAGGGGCAGTACACATACTAAAACAGTGACCATTGTATGATACTGTATTCCCTGCAGGTAGAATACATGAGCCCAACAGCCCAGTCACCTCAGGTTCTTTGTGTCAAGAGACCAACAGATTAAGAAAGGAGTCACCAGCCTGGCAGGAGTAATTGGCTATGATCATTAGGAGACAGTAGGCTGCCATAATACAATGGAGCATCTCTTGGTACTCCCTTGCCCAATTTTGATGGTAAATGCACAATGGAGCAGTCACAGCCTGAGAAAGGAATGGAGTCCAGGGACTCAGACCCCTTAGGAAAGAGCATCTGAGTACCTCAACTGGGAAGCAAACAGAGGTGCTAGCTGAAGATGAAGGAAATCCAGAATGAGTGGTAGAGGAGGACACTGCATTTGTCTTCTTATGTGATAAATAATTATCACGTACTTAGTGGCTCAAGGATTAGTGTTGAAAAACTTCCTTGCAAGCCTGTTCCATTGATTCGTCAGTCTCGCAGTGTTGGGGTGGAGGCAGAAGGGGTTATGGTAAGCAATAGAACCGGTGAGTCCCATAATCCTTTGCCTACTGCTGGACATCCTTTGCTATAAAATGGTTCTTTGGTTTTATGCAGTGTTATGCAGAATCCTATGTCAGCAGACCAAATACTCTGTGATTCCTCAAATAGGGAATCAGGCTTAAGCCCTGTGGGCAGAAAGGACAAACCCAACCCTGGATTACATGTAAATTCTGCTCAATATGATTGATGTCTCTTCCAGGTGGAAAAAGTCTAATGTAAATAATTAGCCACCAAGTGATTGATTTGTTTCCTTAAAGATGGTGCCATTCTGAGGAGTCAGCAGGGTCCTCTGTTGCTGGCAGATTTCACATCAAGGCAGTGCTGGATGATGCCTAGCCTCTATCACTCTCCATGGCTACTCCATTTATGTGCCAACTGGATCACACTGGAGTGACTGATGACAGAGGCTTGGATGATGTCATTTGGCTGAGTCATTCTCTCTGCTTTGTGGTCTAGTGCCTCTTGTGTAGTGAATGTTCTTGTGAGCATAAAAGAAGTTTATACTTTATATCCAATTCCACGTGTTGATCCATGCTTCTTACCCAGAGCTCCTTATTTCCAATTTCTCAATCTTTCTTTTTTCAGGCCCTTGGCCATTCAGCCAAGCCATTTCTCTTGCCACACAAAATTAATGATCAGGTGCATGGCTGAAGCTCTGACCATTGGGAGAATGTTCCCTCGCTTTTGTCTTTCAGGGTCACCCCCTGAGTAGGTCTATACATAAGAAGTCAAATTTTGAATTGCACCTACATACCCAGCCAGAGCATTAGTAAATCAAGTTGAGACATTTTTCTCCTCTGTCTGCTGGTTGTAAGGGAACACCTCATGTGGCCGTTAAGTGTCACCTGAGTGCAAGATGTTATTTCTATAGTGATTGATGACACAGAGATCCGGGTCACTTGCTCACACAGCTTATTTGTACACTCTGGCCTTGTTCATGTCTGATCCAAAGTGTACCACTTCCTAGTAAAATACTTGAACTTCAAAAGTTAAAAAAAAAAAAAAAACCCACAAGCATAATATGAGCTAATATGCCATATTTAAGGCCAAATGTATCTATCATGTCGTATTTTTTTTAAAAAAGACTTTTAGATTGGACCACCAGGCAAAATCCAGCAAGCAAGAGACATATATTTAATGAAATGATTTAGAAAATGTAAAAATAGGCTGGACATGAAGGCTCACACTTATAACCCCAGCACTTTGGGAAGCCAAGGTGGGGAGGATCACTTGAGCCTGAAAGTGCAAGACCAGCCAAACAAAAGTAGCAAGACTCCATTTCACAAAAATAAATATTTAAAAAATTAGCTGGGCATTGTGGCATGCACCTGTAATCCTAGCTATTCAGGAGGCTGGGATAGGAGGAATGCCTGAGCCCAGGAGGTCGAGGCTACAGTGAGCCACGATGGCACCACTGCACTCCAGCCTGGGTGGCAGAGAGAGCCTGTCTGAAAGAAAACAATAATTAAGAATTAGAAAATCTAAAATAAAAAGATGCAAAATTAAACAATGATTTACTTGAGTATAAAATACATGTGAATAACTGAAATTAAAGCAAATAATTTTGTTGTTTACCACAAAATCATATCACATATTCAAACCCAATATATAAGCTATTTCTTTTTTTTTTTAATGCATCATGCCAAATTAGTAGATAAAGCACAGCAAATGATCCTTTGATATAGAAAATCAGTGCTGAGTCAAAACTAATCCTCTTTGCTTAAAATTGTGAGAAGCAGTTTGCCCACTCATTTGCTAAGGCAGGGCCCTCTGTTCTCAAATGAAGAGCTGTGAAGTCTACATGTAGCTCCACCATGCTTAAATTGTTGATTATGATAGGATGGTTTGGGCTCAGATGGTGAACAAAGACTTACTTCTGTATGCCCTATATATGAGGCATATTTTTTACTATTGAAAATCATTGAATAATGCTACTAAATTGTTTCCTATAAAGTTATATAAAAAGGATTAACAACCATTCATTTGCTGCAATATAGGCTTGTAAAAGAACTTTTGAAAATAAGAATAAAATAGTCAAATGATATGAGGAAAAGGTAAACCAAAAGAAACAGGGATCATGATCTTTATGTCAGATAAGAAAAATTTCATGCCAAAAAGCACTAAATAAAATAAAGGCACTTTGTATTTTTAATGGATTCCGTTCACAAGAGTTATAAAGATTAAGAATATCTATACATTAAATTACATAGAAATACAATTAATAAAACAAAACCTCCAGGAGATACCAGTAAAAACAGACACATTAGTTGCAGGAAATGTTAATTCACTTCTGTTGGGCCACATAAAGGTCAAATAATAAGTAAGATTATAGAGAGCATAAATCTTCCAAAATCCTTTTATGGAATTAGCATAAAATTGATATTAACCTGACAAACATATCGATGCGAAACATTTTAAATAAAATATTAAAAACAAAATTTAGCAGCACATTAAAAAAATCATTTCCCAAGATCCAGTACAACATGTTCCAGGAAAGCAAAGTTAACTAATATTGGGAAATTTGTTTCTGTAATTTATCATATTGATATATCTAAGAGCAAAAATATTTGACATATCTATAGATGCTAAAAAGGCATTAATGAAATTCACATTTTATTCTTTATTTTAAAAATAAACTCAATAAAATAGCAGTATATTGATACCTCTTTAATATTGTAAATTATAATATTATAAAATCCCTCACTCAAAAAGCCAGCATAATGCTTGCTAGAGAAATAAAATCAAATATGTAAATTTTAAATATAGAAAGTGATGTATTTTATATGATTTAAAACATTTACTGTATTTTTTTGTTTTTGTTTTTGACCATAAAATTTTATGCCAAAAACCAAGAAACAAAACTGGGAACTAAGCTAGCATTCTTGTTCTAATCATTTTAATGTGAAATAACATGGAATATTCTAGCCAACATAATAAGCCATGGAATACATAAAACATATAGATCTCAGAAAGGCTGCATAAAACACAAAAATCTTCTTAGAAAACCCAAGATAATGAATTGAAAATTTATCATAATTAAGTATAGTTGAGCTATATAGCTAGTTACAAAATAAATACAAAAATCAAGATGTTATGGCTCTCACCTGTAATCTCAGCACTTTGGGAGGCCGAGGCGGGCGGATCATGAGGTCAGGGGATCCAGACAATCCTGGCTAACATGGAGAAAACCCATCTCTACTACAAATGCAAAAAATTAGCCAGGTGTGGTGGCACACACCTGTAGTCCCAGCTACTCAGGAGGCTCAGGCAGGAGAATCACTTGAACCCGGGAGGCAGAGGTTGCAGTGAGCTGAGATCTCACCACTGCACTCCAGCCTTGGTGACAGAGCGAGACTACATCCAAAAAAAAAAAAAAAAAAGACAGAGAGAGAGAGAGAGAGAGAGAAAGCAATAGGTTCGTTTAATCAGCAATAAGCTAATTAAAAGTTCTAATGAGAAAAAAAAAACCAAGTATTTTGTTAACAACAAAAAGGCATAAAATATACTAGGAAACACAGTTAAAAATTTGTGAAACTCAATAGCAAAGACATGGTGTCAACCTAAATGCCCATCAGTGGTACACTGGATAAAGAAAATGTGGTATATATACAGCATGGAATATTATGCAGCCATAAAAAAGAACGAGATCATGTTCTTTGTAGGAACATGGATAGGGTTGGAGGCCATTATCCTTAGCAAATTAACGCAGGAACAGAAAAACAAATACTGCATGTTGTCATTTATTAGTGGGAGCTAAATGATAAGAACACATGGACACACAGAGGGAACAACACACACTGGGGCCTATCAGGGGATAGAAGGTGAGAGGAAGGAGAGGATCAGAAAAAAAATTCCCATTATTTGTGACAAATTCCCATTATTTGTCAGTAAAGATGGTCAGGTATTTGAAGGAGAATTAAAATAGGGGAATGGAGGAAAACCTGGTTGGGGAAAGCTAAAATGGGTCTTGTAGTTTTTTGAGTTGAAAAGGGAGAGATGAAATGATGTGTTACGTTATGTCCAGAGAGAGGGAGAAAACTAATAAGGGAAAATCGAGGGGTAATTTGAAACATTTCACAAAAGCGGCTGAAATGTCAGAGTAAAAAGTAACCCCTGCCTGTAATGCACTTAGAAACTGAAATAGTCTAAAGATTAAACCTATTTGCAAGTGAATGGTTAAGCTCCTATGGATTCTCAGGGATCCCTGTCTAGGTGATAGTTTTAGCATGTTTGCATATCTGCCTCTTCCACAAGATTAGGATCTCCAAGGAAGAAAGCCTTTTTCTGTATTAGGCTTTACACCCTCACCCCTTAGCACACAGCCTGGTGCACCCGTTTTCTAAATGACTGAGTTAGTATTTTGTCCTTTGAAGGATAACTTTCTAGAGTATTACTTAACATGAAGATTTTCTTTCCAAACAGGATTACCAAACCAATAACAATGACCAGGCAGTAGTTGAAATCTGTATCACGAGAATCACAACAGCCATCAGAGAGACTGAGTCCATTGAAAAGCATGCAAAGGCCCTTGTGGGGCTCTGGGACTCCTGCTTGGAACATAACCTGAGACCCTTTGGGAAAGATGAAGATACTCCTCATGCAAAAATTGCATCTGATATCATGAGTTGCATTTTACAGGTATGTCAGTGCTCAACATCAGGCTATTTGATACTGAGTTGGCAGCCTAGGTGAACCTGTGATGTCTCTGAACCAAGAGCCAATGCTTCTGTGGCATTTAGATACTATAAAAAGACACCACAAGCCATCAATAGTGAAGCTGGGAGGGCTGGTAATTAATAAACTGAGAAAGTTCTATAGAGCTCCTGCTACATGCAAGCCACACGGCAGGGAATTCAAGTAATACCACTGGAAGCCTCTAATCTGGAGAGCATACATATAAAAAGTTAACAATAAAGCAATATGTGCCAAGACCCACAGGAGGAGTACTAGAAAATTCAGAAGAGGAGATCTCTTTCATCCAGGGAGAACACAGTGGAAGCAAAAATGAACTGAGGGGCAGTGAGCTCGGGATACAGCAGGGAAAGTAACTAAGTCATTTCAAACATATGTATTGAGAATTTTTCATGACGATATTTGCCTGTTCTGACCACAGTTAATTCTTTCCTCTGGTGTAAATGTGAATTTGGAGTTTTGGCTCAGCCACTAACGAGTTGTAACACTGCAACGTTGGGCAGGTCTCTTAACTTCTTAAGCCACGGGGTTCTCCCTGTAAAGCGCAGGTTAAATGACACTGTCCATGACAAATTTACCAACCAGTGATATTGATAGCTGTTTCTCAAAAAAATAATTTTATGATCAAATAAGTTGGGAAACAATTCAATTTTTCCCCTCTGAGTGATCACGATGGCATATGAAAGGTTCTGTAAAGTCCTACAATAAAGAAAGCTGGCTAACTTTGTTTAGGCCAACATTTTCCAATCTGATTTCACCATGGAACCTCCTTTCTCCTCCCCACTCCCAACACAACACTTTTGAACATCCCTCAGAACCTGTGTTCCACTGAGCACAGGTCAGGAAAATCTGGTTCTGTTAAAATGCTTAGCAGTGCATGCGGCAGCTGATATTAGCATCCTTTATTTTCTTCCTTTTCCCCCCACAGTTGTTTATGATTAACTGGATCATATTTTATCTGTCTGATCAGTCTAAGAATCGGTCGACTGAACAAAAGACTCCTCATGCACCACCACACTGTGTCTCCTTCATCCCCAGGGTTTAGGATGGGTGGGGAGAAAATGGGGATTGCAGCAAAATTAACAAAAGATGAATAGTGCTTGATGGAACAACAAAGACCCAATGCATTTGCTCTTCATTGGTTATCTTGGTATATTATTGATATTTATCAGAAACATAGATTATTTCACCCCAATGTGCACCTTAACAAACATTCAAACAATTTAAGCATCCTATCCCACTCCCCCTGCAGGCTCAAAACCATTGGCCTAGACTTTAGGACAGTGCTATCCAATAGAACTCTAATGTAAGCCACAAACAGGAGCCAAATATGTAATTTTAAATGTTCTTGGCCGGGGGTGAGTAGGGGAACAGTAGTGAAGAGGGAGAAAAAGAATACAAATATATTAATTACCACTGAATTATACACTTAAAAATTGTAAAGATGGTAAATTATATATGTATATTTTATCTCAATTTAAAAAATTAAAAAGGAAAATATTCTAGGAGCCACTTAAGTAAAAAGAAAGATGAAATTGATTTTAATAATATATTTCCTCAACCCATTATATTCAAAATAGTATTATTTCAACATACACTCAATATAACAATTTTTTTTTTTTTTTTTTTTTTTTTTTTTTTTTTTTGAGATGGAGTCTTACTCTATCACCCAGGCTGGAGTGCAGTTGCGCAATCTTGGCTCACTGCAACCTCCACCTCCTGGGTTCAAGCTATTCTCCTTCCTCAGCCTCTTAAGTAGCTATGACTACAGGTGCCCACCATAACGTCCAGCTAATTTTTATATTTTTAGTAGAGACAGGGTTTCAGCATATTGGCCAGGCTGGTCTTGAACTCCTGAACCTGTGATTCATCATTTTTTTAAGCAATTCTTACCTATCTGATGTGCATTTTAGTGCATTACTAAATGAACTGGTCATACTTCAGATGGTCAGGAGCATCCCATGGTCAGTAGCACCTGTGTTGACACAGTTCTAGAGTAATCAGAGCAAGTTTTCTGGGTGAAGTTCATGTTTGGAAGGGTTATGAGCAGTGAGCAGGAATTTCACTAGATAAGACAAAGGAGAGCCAGAAGACATTCTATGCAGAAAAACAGCTTGTGCAAAAGTACAGATTTGTGAAATAAGACTCAGATCAGAGAATTATAAGCATGCTACCTTTCCAAAATGTCCAGAATTCTAACATGTATGTTAGATGGATGTTTTATTCTGAGTAAAGTATTATGTCTCTTACTTAAAAGGGATGGGGTATGATGTAGGGAATTAAATGCTTTTGAGAAATTGAAATGCTAAACTCACTGATGATCAAGACTTAATGTAAAAGAGTTTGTAAGATTGTTGAGAGCACGGTTCGGAGGTCAAGGGCTGATATTTTGGGAAGTGACAGAGAAAAGGCCTGAAGGCTAGTAGGCTCCTTGGTTAAGAGGGACAAGTCAGGCAGAGAAATGTGTAAGTCCAACATACAGGGCGGTGTAGGCATGGGGTGTCCATTGCAGGCCCTCAGAAGGAGGCAAAATCCACTAAAATGTAAAGTAGGAAGGCCTAAAGGCAAAGTTGTTTTCAGCATAGTTCAGCATCTTATCTTGGCTACCCCTGGGAGTCCCAGAAAGTCAGCCCCAGGAACCAAAGGCAAAGCTGTGGTCATAGCATTTATATTTAGCTTTCATCAAATTTTAAAGGGAAGTTTTTGGCTTCCAGTAAACATTGAAGGGATGATTTTGTATTACTTCTAATTTATGTTCCTGTGGGGAATGTGTAGAAATCCAAATGACTCATTTTGTTCTATTTTTTCAGTAAAATGAAACAATAGACCAACTTTCAAAAGTTAGGCACTCAGCATTTTTAGCTTTACACAAAATGGAAGGAAAACAAACAAACAAAAAATGAGTGATTTGTTTTCCACCCATCCCATCCTCCAGATAAGCAACCCAGGGTCCTATTTTCTGATCAAGCAGAGGCCCAGTCATTCTTTTCTTCTCTAACCCTTGGCTTCATTTGATTTCTTTTTTCTGGCCACTTGATTGTCATTTTAAGCTAAATGTGTGTACACACACACACACACACACACACACACACCCCTACACACACTTTTCTTTTTGTCCCCCAGATTTCCTCTTGTCAGCCTATATGCAAACCTGCTTCAGGTGACCATTCCTTTTCCTTTTTTAGTTGGTAATTATACCTCTTTTCTTGGTCCCTAAATTTATGAACTTGCCACATTTACCTTAAAATAACCTTTAAAATTCCAGAACTCACCTTCGACTCTTTCCTCAATACAAAATCAGTACATATATGGGGCATGCACTTGTGAGTTTGTTTCTGGCCTTGGGCCATGTGTTTCTGTACATCCTGTGTCCTTAAACAAGTCTCTCAACTTATGTATAAAACAGAGAATTGAACCAGATCACCTTCCATGTCATCTCCCAGTCTGAAATTTTGACTCCCTGAGGAGACTCTAAGTAGAATAGCAAAGAGCTTTAGAGTTTGAAGGCTTCCATGTCATTTGGATCTTAGTCTTATTAACATGAAAGATTGGCAGGATATTTTCTCTCTCTAAATCTCTGTTCTGCCATCTCTAAAATTGGTATAACAATACCTCCTGCTCAGAACTGTTATGAAGGTTAAAATGATATTACATATACAGTGTTTACATAGTACAATTGCTACATAGTAAGTGCCCAATATAAGTAGAGGTTTGTAGCTAGCAAATTAATCCAGTCTTGCAGGACAATGAAAATGAGCATTCAACGGGTTCCATTCACGACATCAAACTATGGGAGTTGAGTACTTTTAATTGGTGGTGGGAGGTGCACAGGAAGAGGATCTTGTATTTCAAAAGCGATCTCTATCTGTCCTCTAGCCACTATGCGGAAGTACCTAATTCAAAGTACAGCTTACTTGGAGTTAACAGCTTTCTCTGACCCTCTGACCAGATGGAGTTGCCCATTGCCTACCCCCTTTGTATTTGCTCCTAGAAAAATCCTGAAAAAGAATATACCCATACAATGTGAATTACATTCTAGGAAAAAAACAAACTTGGAAAACTTGATGAAAATTAAAAGGCACCTCAAGGACATTACCATTGTTGACACGGCAGCTGTTCTAGAATGAAATGCTAGAGAATTGGCAGATCAGCCATCTTGAAGCCTGGCAGCCAATGCTTGGCTTTATCCTCATTCTGCTGCAGTCACAGCCTCTTCCCCAACCAAATCACTTAGCAGAGACCTTGTTGTGTATTTAATCAGTTCCACATTTCATCTTCCCTCATCTCTGCTACCATTGTTGATGACGCCATAAAGAGGGAAATAACCAAAGCAGGATGCCTGCAGGGTAAGAGGGGGAACAGGAATAATCCCCAGATGTGCTCCTGGGAAATCAGAAAGTGTCTGTTTTTCCCTCTTTATAGAAGGACCCACTGTTCCTTCTCCTTGATGCCACACATTCCTCTCAGCTCTTCTTCCTCAGTCAATGCAATATAAAGATTTAATCTCTGGTCTTGCTAGTGTTGCATGTGAAGTGCCTCAGACAGTGAAAAGCATTTCCTTCACAACTCTTAGAGATGGGACTGGTTATGTCAATCGAGCAGTTTATTCAGTAGGCAATACCAGCTCCCCCATGTACCTGTAGTGTGGTCTTGGGAAAATGAATATTTCTGGGCCTTAATGGCCTTATAAGTAAAGTACAGATATTGAGAAGAGCTGCCTCATGAGTTGGCTGTGAAAATTAAATGAACAGACATTACATGATAGACAAGATATTTAGAACATAGGAAGTGCTGCATGAATATTAACTCTGGTTGATATCATCATTATCATTATCTGCAGGAGACTAAAATAACCCTCAATGCTTTCTAACAAACTATTGATTTAATTATGTGTTATAGCCACATTATAAATATCCTGTCTCTCCTCTCCCCAAATTATAAGGTCTTTTATTCACTGAAGTAATCCCAGCACATAGAATAGTGCTTAGCATATAGTAGGTGCTCAAATAATATTTGTTGAATGGCTGAGTGAATGGACTCTGGAGATGTGGGTACCTCCTGGCTTCCATAGCAGCTACACTTCTCTCCAGAGTAAGCTTCAGTACCTAATGCTCAGAGAGCGGCATGAAATGGGAGGAGACTGGGATGTACACTCTCAGGTCTCTTACACTCCAAACTTAGGCTTGTGTGCCAATTAGATTTTACATATAGCTATGCTGGGAAGAATGAACCATTTTATATGTAAATCCAAAATTGGTTTAACTTTGATTGATAATGCTGAATGAATAATCGAGGAACCCTATTTTAATAAGTAAGGTTTAATGTTTCTTGAGCTTAATCATTTTTATGGTTCTTACTTGAATTCAAGGCCTGAGAGCCAAAGAGCTTGTTAGTTCCTATCACCTCAGATAGGTATCTTTTCGACTTAGCTTTATTCTTTTCCATTTTAAAAACACTGGGAAACATTCCCAAAGCGCATTTTCAAAAGGCCAATTTCAACCAAAAGCTTCAAATTGGTGCTAATCGAGTTTAGAAATATAATTCTTGGCATCCATAGAACAAAGCCCTCTTGTTTAACCTCTACAGCTAGATATAATTGTCCCCACGAGAAAGTCTGTTTCTATGCTGCACTTCATTGAATCTGTTCCCTCAGCACCAAACTCTAAGATGATATTCATACCAACATGCTCACATCTGCACTGAGAATCAAGATCTGTCATAGGCTCTGGCATTATCAGTGCTGCTAAAGTCATTTATTTGTAAAACTGGAATCATAGGGCTTTCTCTGCATGCATGCCATTAGCATTTCTGTGACCCAAATAATTATAGAGATGAAATAATTTCATGGGCTTGAGATCTACTGCATTACCAACTCCTTTTGCTGCCTTTGAAAGTGAAGCTCAGCCACTGGATGTTTTATGGTACCTGTTAGGTCCATGGGACCCTTGTTTGTCCAGCCTCTTCTTGGCCTCCCAGCAATTTTTAAAAATGTAAGTCAAAGGAGCAGGGACAGAATATGATTATAATTGAGAAAAATGACCAAATCAATGAGCTTTTCTAAACATCACGTTTGATCAGTATGTTAACGAAAAGAGGATGCTCAATATCACATCATTATTTTGGCATGTTTGTCCAGCACCACTAGGAAAAATACTGAATCTGATGAATGGAAACTTCCAGTGACCAGAGAAAGGTATTCAGTTATAGGACAGGAGTGTTCTTTTAATCAGGTTTCACATGGCCTAGATGAAATATCCCTCAGGCTCTCTCTCTGCTGTGATCTGATTTTGTGCCCGTGAGTGAACATTCTAGTTTCTAATCTAGCTCCTGGGTATCCTGAAAATGTGAAAGGGATACCTACCCTAGGTCTGACCTATAAAAGCCTCTCACTGGCGTGCCTGCTTATGTACCAGCCTTTTGGAAATTCTTTGATATGTTAGCCTTAGTGGATCCAAACAATTTCGTGTGTTCGAACCAAGCAAACGCCCTGACTTCTAAGGCTGAGAACTAACTCCTGGGGAAGGGAGCTACTAGCCTCTCGGAGAGGTCTCCAAACCATCAGTGATGGCCCGGTCAGATCTTTGCCTACTCTTAGGCCATGGAGATGTTCTCCTGTGTTGTCTTCTCTGTCTTGTTTTATTTTTCACTTTTAGATCTGCAATCTATCTGGAATTAATTTTCGTTATGGCAGATACAGGGGTAGAGATATATTTTTCTCTCATGTAAATATTTTACCCAATTGCCCCATTTCTATTGCTCAGGAATTATATGTATCAATGACCATTTTTATCTCATGTCCTTTCTTTCGTCCTTATTGTAGGAGTTGATATATAAAGGTGGAATTCTACATTTCATTCTAATAATATAATTTTCTCTTCAGCCACAGGGGAAAGTTAAATAATGAAAGTGGTCCTGGCTTTGCATTGTATTAATCAGGATACAAGCTCAGCTGCAATAACAAAGATCTAAATATAACAGTGGGTTGAGCAACACAGAACTTTGTCTCTCATCAAGTCATGCAAGAGTAGGAGTCTAAGGCTAATTTGCTGGCATTATGGTATCAAAAGTCCAGGATTCTTCTACTTTCTCTATATTATTCAACATATGGCGACCATATTCTCATTCCAACCAGCATTAAAGAAAAAAAAATAAGAAGCTAAGTCACTTCGTGGTAATAGTAACCTAGAAGTTGAACACATTACTGCCATTTCTATCCCATTGGTCAGAACTTTGAACATGGTCACATCCAGCTGCAAAGAAGGTTGAGAAATGTAGCTTTTCATCATGTGGTCCTATGCCAGCTGAAGTTCAGGAATGTATTACTAAAATAAAAGAAGGTGAATAATTACTGGTGGACTGTTAGCAATTTCTAGTAGTAGTGTTAATACTCTTGACTGCCCTCATAGATTTATTCTCAGTCTTCTCAGTCTGATGCAGGCAAACCTAGATATTGATTACCTAAATGTAGATCTCTATTTGGGTGGTAATCATTTCTTGACCCTCTTTAATAGGTTAGTGATCCCTCAGTAGCCTAGAAGGTCTTCCTATGTCAGACAGTTGATGTCATGTCTGCTTTAGGATCCTTTCATCAGAGACTATTTGATTGGAAGAGATTATGATAATCACTCTTATGAGTAAGACCTAGAGAGCTGGATGACACCTTCATGATCACCCTGAAAGATGGTAGCAGAGCTGAAATTAGAATACACAGTTTTCTTTTTCTATCAGATGCCCTGCCCACCACGTTATTTTCCCAGTGGCAACTATCACAGTAGATTTACATTTTCTTTATTAGTCACTCAATCTGAAGATATTGAGTACTCACCATAAGCCCAGAATTGTAGGAGGTGCTAGAGGGCATAATCCATAAGTGGAAAGATAAGCACTTTTCACATGAACAGTTTGAGAAAAAAAAAAATCACTTTTTATTTATAATATAATATGAAATCCACTCCCAAACATACTGTGCACTGCACAGTGTTTTTTCCTACAGTTAGTCTGAGAGGTAGGGTTGATGGCCAGGGCTAGTGAATATGTACCATTCATTTTTAAGAAAACAGTTTGTTGACCAAAACATTATGTGGTGGGGAAAAAAAGAAAACAATTTATATTTTCTAAATATTATTCCCTAATTAGGTAACCAAATGCTAATAAGACTATTTTATATGTAAGTACATTTATATTCAATTATACCAAGAAGAGAATTATTTTAGGATCCAGAATATCTTTAGATTTTAATCTTACATTCATTTATTTTTTCCCTCTGAATCTAATTAGCTGAAACCTTAGTTTTGAAGATAGATGTTGTCAAAAAGTGACTTGTTCAACATTCCTTAGGTTTTTGTCTCAAGTGTAAATATAACAAGTGATTCCTTTCATCAGTGACCCCTGATTACCATAAAGATCAATTCCAAACTCCTTAGCCTGATATGCTGTATGCCAGACCTTCCATAATCATGTTCTGTTTACCTGTCCCGTCTCTCCCCTCACCTTCCACTCCAGTTTCCTCACACATACCACACTCCAGCCATCCTGAGCTACTGACAACCCCCCAGTGCCATCAGGTGCTCCCTCACCTCAGTCTCTGCACACCTGCTCTTCCTTCTGTCTGCCTACTCCCTGCCTTGCCAGCACTCAGCCATCTCCTGTTCATCCATGAAGTCCCGACTAAGACATTACCTCCTCCAGGAAGTCTTTCTTGACATTCCTGAAGACTGGATTGAGTGCTCCTTCTCTGCTGTTTCAGTACTCCTGCCTTTTGCCCATTTCGGCTGTTATCAGTTTCTGCTGTTAACTGCCTGTTTGTCTTTAGCTCTCTTAAACAAAACCAAAAGTTCCCAGAGTTCCCAAATACAATATCAATAGGGCAGGGCCTGTGTTTTCACAGCTGTGCTCTGGGAGCTTAATCCAATAAATATTTTTTGAATGAATGAATGAATGAATGAACAATGAGTCATTTATTATTTGTGGCTTTCTTATATTTCCTCAGAATTACAACAGACCCCCCGTGATGGCATTAGCCATCCCCATTGCAGTGAAATTCCTCCACAGAGGCAACAAAGAACTGTGCAGGAATATGTCTAACTACCTGTCTCTGGCCGCAATTACCAAGGCAGATCTCCTGGCTGATCACACGGAAGTTATAGTAAAGAGCATACTCCAAGGTATGGTGCAAAGATTGAGCTTGGGAACATGTTTTAGGAGGCATTTGAAAGTATTTTCATGAAGCATTTGTAGTTCATGGGAAGCAAGACCTAGAGGATTAGAAGCAAGTTAATTTCTCTGCTTTGCCGTTAGTTGACTTGTGAACATGCAAAAGGTTACTTAATCTGGCTGAGTCTGTGTCCCTTCCCAAGGCGGATGAATTACTTAGACTCATTAAAAGAATTTTAAGCTTTCTTCCAAATCTGTCTTTCTCAATTTGAAGAACTGTATTTTCTATGCTTCTGGTCACCTGTTCAACTACCAACTGTGGAGAGCTTATCTCTATGTATCGAGTGGAAAATGTCACTCAGTTGGAGATCGAAAAACCTCTCTTCGTTTGGTTCCAAAAGCAAGAAATGTCTTTTGTTAGATAAAATACATCAGAAAATATGTAATAACTCCTTAAATGTGAATGTGATTTGGGAATGATAACAAACATAAAAAGTCAAGTAGTACACCTCTGTTAATTGTTATGACATTTTAATGAAAGAGGTGCTCAAATTAGTTCATGCAAAACATTCTCCTTGTCTTCTTTTATTTTCTTTTGTTTCAGATCAATCAAAAAGCATGATTTTTGAATTTGGGGTCAAGGAACAATATATGTTATTAATTAATATGTATCCAAATGTCCCCAATTCTCATTAATAAAGATGCATGAGGTCCATGAGTATCTCAGTCCACAGTTTACTGACATAACCCACCACATGATAAGGTTGATCGTCAACCCTCTATAAATTGCTCAAAGTTCAAATAATTCTTAGGGTCCCCAATGGTGTCCTATGTGTGCTCTCTTCCCAAGGTATCCAGACCAATCCCCAAGCCCATGCTGCTATTCTGTCCATGCTTCTTGGCATAACATGTTTGGGTGCTGTCCTCTTTCACCATGCTGAGCCCAGCAGACCCTAAGACCACTGCCATGCAGGTCCCAGGAATGGACTCCACTCCTGGGAACTCCATGCTGCCCTGCTAGTGATGGCAGCCCTTGCACTGAGCCACCTGAAGCTTCAGGAACTACCAAGTCCTTAGCCCAGTAATTTAGTATGGCAGCGAGGCCCCAGAGCAGTGCCAAACTAAGTTGCCATGTTTGCAGTAAAATAGATGGTTTTTTAGTGGAATAGAATAAAGAACCCAGAAGTAAAGCTGCACACCTAGAACCATCTGATTTTTGACAAATTCAACAAAAATAAGCAATGGAGGAAGGACTCCCCATTCAATAAGAGGTGCTAGGATAACTGGCTATCTATATGTAGATAAAACTGAACAACTATCACCATATACAAAAATTACCTCAAGATGGATTAAAGACTTAAATGTAAGACCTCAAACAATAAAAGTCCTCAAAGAAAACCTAGGAAATACCCTTCTTGACATCAGCCTTGGCAAGAAATTTATGGCTAAGTCCTTAAAAGCAATTATGACAAAACCAAAAAATGACAAGTGGGACCTAATTGAACTAGAGAGCTTCTAGACAGCAAAATAAACTATCAACAGAGTAAACCGACAACCTACAGAATGGGAGAAAATTTTTCAAGTGACACACCCAACAAAGGTCTAATATCCAGAATCTATAAGAAATTTAAGCAATATAACAAGCAAGAAACAAATAACCCCATTAAAAAGTGCAAATCAAAAAGTTAGGAAGATCTCAATTAACAACCTAATAGCATAACTAAAAGAATTAAGGAACCAAGAAAAAAACAACTTCAAAGCTAGCAGAAGACAAGAAATAACCAAAATCAGAGCTGAACTGAAGGAGATTAAGACACAAAAAATTTTTAAAAGATCAACAAATCCAGGAGCTAGCTAGACTGCTAGCTAGACTAATAGAGAAGATAACAGAGAAGATTCAAATAAACACAATCAGAAACGACAAGGGGATGTTACTACTGACTGCACAGAAGCACAATCATCAAAAGATATTATGAATAGCTCTATACACATAAATTAGAAAATCTAGAAGAAATTAATAAATTCTTGGGCACATATATGTAGATTCACAGCTGAATTCTACCAGATGTACAAAGAAGAGCTGGTACCATTCCTGATGAAACTATTCCAAAAAATTAAGGGGGATGGACTCCTCCCTAACTATTCTATAAGGCCAGCATCATCCTGGCAGAGACACAACATAAAAAATAAATAAAGATTCTTAAAAAACCCAACTCCAGGCCAATATCCTTGAACACTGATGCAAAAATCCTCAGCAAAATACTAGCAAAACAAATCCAGCAGCTTATCCACCACAATCAAGCAGGCTTTATTCCTGGGATGCAAGGTTGGTTGAACATATGCAAATCAATAAATGTGATTTATCATATAAACAGAACTAAAGACAAAAACCAATAGATGCAGAAAAGGCTTTTGATAAAATTCAACACCCTTCATGTTACAAACTCCCAATAATCTAAGTATTGAAGAGTATACCTCAAAATAGTAAGACCCATCAATGGCAAACCACAGACAACATCATACTGAATTGGCAAAAGCTGGAAACATTACCATTGAAAACTGCACAAGACAAGGACATCCTCTTTCACCACTCCTGTTCAACATAGTATTGGAAGTCCTGGCCAGAGCAATCATGCAAGAAAAAGGAATAAAGCACATCCAAATAGAAAAGAAGAATATCAAGCCATCCCTATTTGCAGATGACATGCTCCCATATCTAGAAAACCCCGTGGTCTCAGCCCAAAAGCTTCTTAAGCTGATAAACAACTTCAGCAAAGTCTCAGGATACAAAATCAATGTACAAAAATCACTAGTGTATCTTCACACCACCAATAGCCATGCTGAGAGCCAAATCAGGAATGCAATCCCATTTACAAGTGCCATACATATACAAATAAAATACCTAGGAATACAGTTAACCAGGGAGTTAGTTGAAAGATCTCTGTAAGGAGAACTATAAAACACTCCTCAAAGAAGTCAGAGATGACACAAACAAATGGAAAAATATTCCATACTCATGTATAGGAAGAAACAGTATCATTAAAATGGCCATGCTGCCCAAAGCAATTTATAAATTCAATACTATTCTTATTAAACTACCAATGACACTATCACAGAACTAAAAAAAAAAAATTAAATTCATATGGAACCAAAAAAGAGCCTGAATAGCCAAGGCAGTCCTAAGCAAATATAACAAACCTGGAGGTATCACACTAACTTCAAACTGACTTCAAACAGGAATGCAGTAAGCAAAACAGCATGGTACTAGTACAAAAACATACACATAGACCAATAGAACAGAATAGAGAACTCACAAATAAGGCTATGCACCTACAACTATCTGATCTCTGAAAAAGCTGACAAAAGCAAGCAATGGGGAAAGGACTACTTGTTCAATAAATGGTGCTGGGATAACTGGCTAGCCATATGCAGAAGATTAAAACTGGACCCCTTCCTTCTACCACATAAAAAAATTAAGATGGATTAAAGACTTAAATGTAAAACCCTAAACTATAAAAACCCTGGAAGACAACCTAGGTAGTACCATTCTGGACATAGAAATGGGCAAAAATTTCATGAAGAAGATACCAAAAGCAATTGCAACAAAAGCAAAAATTGACAATTAGGATCTAATGAAACTAAAGAGCTTCTGCACAGCAAAAGAAACTATCAACAGAGTGAACAAACAATCTAGAGGATGGGAGGAGTTATTTGCAAACTATGCATCTGACAAAGGTCTAATATCCAAGATCTACAAGAAACGTAAATAAATTTATAAGAAAAAACAAAACCCATTACAAAGTGGGCAAAGGACATGAAAAGATACATTTCAAAAGAAGATGTACATGCAGCCAACAATCATGAAAAAGCTCAACATTGCTGATCATTAGAGAAATGCAAATCAAAAGCACAATGAAATACCGTCTCACACCAATATATTATTAAAAAATTTAAAAATAGCAGATGTTGGCAAGGTTGTGGGGAAAAAGGAATGCTTATCAACACTGTTGGTGGTGGTTGATCCTCAAAGTCCTAAAAACAGAACTACCATTCAGCTCGACAATTTTATTACTGGGTATATACCCAAAGAAATAGAAATTGTTCTATCATAAAGACACATGCACACATACTAGCAAAGACATGGAATCAACCTAAATGCCCATCAGTCACAGACTGGCTAAAGAAAATGTGATACCTATACACCATGGAAAACTATGCAGCCATCCAAAAGAACAATATCGTGTCCTTTGCAGGAACATGGATGGAGCCAGAGGCCATTATCCTTAGCAAGCTAATACAGGAACAGAGAACCAAATACCGCATGTTGTTGCTTATAAGTGGGAAGCTAAATTATGACATGTAGAGGGAAACAAAAGATACTGGGCCATATTTGAAGGTGAAGGGTGAGAGGAGGGAGAGGATCGGAAAAATAACTAATGTATACTGGGCTTAATACCTGGGTGACAAAACCCCATGACACAAGTTTACCTAAATAAAAAAAAAAAAACAAAAAACTGCCCCATACCCCTGAACTTAAAGAAGAAAAAAGTGGGTAAAGGACATGAACAGATACTTGTCAAAAGAAGACATAAAAGCAGCCAACAAATATATTACAAAATGTTCCACATCACTAATCATCAGAGAAATGCAAATCAAAATCACAGTGAGAGACCATCTCACACCAGTCAGAATGGCTACTATTAAAAATTCAAAAAACAGCACATGTTGTCAAGGCTGCAGAGAAAAGAGAATGCTTATATGCTATTTGTGGGAATGTGCATTAGTTCAGCCACTGTGGAAAGCAGTTTGGAGATTTCTCAAAGAAGTTCAAATAGAACTACTATTTGACCCAACAATTCCATTACTGGGTATGTATATGCAAAGGAAAATAAATCCTTTTACCAAAAAGACACATGCACTCATATCTTCATTGCAACACTATTCACAATAGCAAAGACATGGAATTAGGCTAGGTACCCATCAACAGTGGACTGAATGAAGAAAATGTGGT